CTCTCTCTCTCTATATATATATATATATATATATATATATTACTAGTCAAAATGTATTTCTGACAAATAAAATGAAGCGGCTTTCCGTACCAGCCGCTGAGAGCCGCAGACGGTCGAGCTCCCCCTGCAGGCGGCGGATCAGATCGTCTTTAGCGTCCAGCTCGAGCTCCAGCTCGTCGATGAGAGCGTCTCTCTGCCGTAACTCCTCAATCTTCAACTGAAGTGCGAACTGAAGATCTCTGAGAGTCCCCATGAGCCCTGCGCGAGGGGACACAGAGAGGGGCTGATGGGTGCGTGCGTTTATGTTAGATAACTGGACAATTCTACAGGATGAAATTAACGGCAGACAAAACTGAAGTTGCTCTGAAATGATTTAAAGAATCTCCAAAACTCATCGGCTGTATTAGCCTATCGAGGCGCAGTCAGCGCTGCATATTAATCCAAACAGATTAAGCCACGACAAAACCAATTAATTATTTTTTTTTATTTCTTTACACACTGCATTGACAATAAGCGATGGGCTAACCGAGAAGACATTTACCTGAAAAATATAAGCAAGGAACATGGGACTTACAAACAGACCGAAGGCAATAAATATCCCCTCTGGAATGACAGAGCTGGTCAGCTTTAGGAATACTGAAGACATCCAGAGTGTGAATGTTTGAATCATGCCTTCTCCGCACGAGCGCTGATCTGAAACAGAGCGAGAGAGAGAGAGAGAGAGAGAGAGAGAGAAAGAGAGAGGGGGGGGGGGTCATTCTAGTACACAGCCACGCTATGAGCAGTGTTCAATGTTGACGAGTTGCATAAAACAATGCAACAAAATAAACTGCTTTCATTGCATTCAAGCTCGGTTGCACTAAATATGATTTATCAATGACTATGCCGACAACATCTAGCATTATAGCATCATTTCTAAAAGAAAAATAGGACAGTAATTTTCAAAAATGTGCTTCTGGCTCGATTGCTTGATCTTACAAAACACAACATTTTAATAATGACTAATATGTTGTTGTTGGTTTGTGTTGTTTGTGTTTTATAGGCATAAAGTTAGCTATGCTAATAAATAATACAGTTTTAGTCGTTTTTATATATTCGCGTGAATGGGGATCATTTTGACAACATTGTCATCTGAGCAGAAAAATATATCAAAAACACAAAGGAAACCCTTTTCTGCTTTTAATGCAATTATACCCTCAATCAGTTACTGTAAAAAAAAGAGGAAAAAAAATACATATTTAATGTAGTTTTTGTTACGACCTGTCAGTTAACTATTAAAACAGTCACTTTTTTTGGACCCAAGTCAAAAAGTCCACTGTCCACATTTGCAGGTGTCATGAAAGTTGCACAGGTGCATTCAATTTCACCATTTGAAATTTCATTTCAGATTCAGAGTCTGGATTTGGAGAATTATGGACGTGACTGGAAGTGAAATGGTTCTGTTTCCACCAGTTTTTTTAACATTTATAAGAAAACTATAAATATAGCCTACATGTGTTATTTTTCCTTAACTAGTTAAGAGCAACACCCAACCTAAAAGCAGATTTCATTGGTCAACTCGGTTGTATTCACCTGTTCAGATTTCAGAGTCAAGTCAGTAAGTTAAAAACTAATGCAGTCGATTAGGGTGTGCTACACTCTAAAAAATGCTGGGTTGTTTCAACCCAACTTTGGGTCAAATATGGACTTAACCCAATTATTGGGGTTACATTTTTAAACTAAATTTTTAACCCAAAAATTGGGTTAGTCCATATTTGACCCAAAGTTGGATTGAAACAACCCAGCATTTTTAGAGTGTACCAATGCTGTAGTGTACGTTTACACAATGTACTACAAAGCAGAGAAGTTTTTCCTTTGCAATTTTTGAAAAGTTTAATGTACAGATGACAACGTTGTCAAAACAATCTGCGAAAACTACTAAAAACACTGGATTATGCATGCCGGTATAGTTGGAAATGTCACCGCTGGCCTGGCATATATTTATTAATGCTCAAAAACAATACAGACAGTAACAGATAACAAGGGTACATGTCTGAACACGTAATATGCATTCGCATGACACCACCGTTGCACAAATTTGCATTTTTATATGGAGATGTTCTCGTTAACCATAGTTTTCAGGCCCCCAAAACGTCAAAGTGCATAAAAAGCTTTCAGTTTTTAGTTGAAAACATTGTTGTGTGAACACCCCTTATTTACACTACAATGATGTACAAAAAAGTTTTTTTCCTTAGCATAGGCTTTAAAAAGTTTCACACACAGATGACAACGTTGTCAACACAATCCCTGTTCACATGGATCCGCAAAAACAAAACAAAAAACGCTATAGGCCTATTATGTATGCCAGGCCAGTAGATGGCGACGTTACTTCGAAAGAAACTTACACATGTCTATAGATTGAATAGTAATATGCATGCACATGACATCACCGTTTTCACAAATTTGTGTTTTTTACACAGAGATAATACCGTTTTCATAAACGTACAGTTTGAAACCCATTTTCAAAAGTTCGCATTTTCCGGCCCCCAAAATGCTGTTGTCATGTACATGGCCAAAACGCACAAAAAGTGTTCCGTTTTTAGTTAAAAACGGTGTTGTGTAAGGTTAGGGTTATTTGTTTCAGTTTTATGTAGACAGTCAGCACTGTGATAATTACGTTACTTAGTTACCTTTTTATGGAAAGTAATGCGTTACGTTACTTTTGCATTACTTTTCAAATCTGGACAGGGCTTGCTTGTTTGCTTTTAAAATAAAAAAATTATATTTTTGGCAAACATAAAAGCCTTTGCACACCAAAAGTGAAATGAATAAGCCTCAGGCTGAAGGGAAAGTACATTTACGTCCGTACATTAGCATGCAGAAGAAGAAAGTTCAACACTTTTTGCTTATTAGTATGGTTGAACTGGATCATCGAAGGTCAGAAGCAAAGACATTGCTTAATAGAATGGGATTAAATACATAAAGGATATTTGTGTTGTTTAACATTGAATTATTGCAGGTTTGCGTCATATTCTGAGTTGCATTATTTTTAACTACAGTAACATCTTCTGATTTCTCTCAACATGGGGACAGGAGAGCTGTCAATCAATACATTGGAAAAAAAGAGTAACTTGCGTTACTTAAAAGTAACTCAGATATTCTCTTGTAAATTAAAAAGTAATGCGTTACTTTACTAGTTACTTGAAAAAAAGTAATCTGATTACGTAACTCGCGTTACTTGTAATGCGTTACCCCCAACACTGGATATGAGCAATGAAATCTTTTTTTCTTCAGGAAAAAAAAAAAAGTCAGGCATTTTACGAGGGGCAGGTCATCTCATGGAGGCCGCCATGTACAGAAATGAAGACTTTTGCATGATGCTGCACCACCTGAGTGCATCAGCACTACATAAACAACAACAACAACAACAAAATCTGCATGAAGTGGAATTATTGCAAGAGCAGTTTACTGCATAAGATGCAGTGTGAAGTGTGATGTTAAAATTCACTTCTTAATACCACAAGTCACCATCAACCATCAGAGCACCATAATCACCCAGCAACAGAAAAAGGAAATATATGATTTGTTAAAAATATATTAGAGGGCGGGGTTTTATCTGTTGTCCCGTATGTTCGCCCTCTTCCGTATTGCAGCGTTTTGTGTTCAGACAGAGAGTAAAGCAGACCAGACGTGAACAGAGTCACAGAGATCAGCGACATTACGGTGAAAATCATGTTTAAACTCGCTGTAGTCGCTCTTGTGCTTCTCAGCGCCAGCTGTTTTGCCAAACAATGTAAGTAGGCCTATAATGAATCTGTTTTCTGACGCAGGCGTTCTTTGCTACTCTTCTTATTATGCTTTTTATTTTTAGTAGCCTAATTGTTGTTCATTTTATTTTTGATAATATTTTATATTTCCATGGTTTATACAGTCTTTATCAAATCCTACGTTTGAATCCCTCATTAGTTTAAAAATATATATATTTATACATGTTTTTTTAACCTATATAGCGTATGACGTACTTTCAGCTACTGGAGAATACAAAGGATAAAATCCTTTAAATTGTTCAAAACATAACAAAACGTTGAAAAACGTATATTTGTCATTTTAAAAAGCTTGTGAAAATCTGTCCAGGGAATTCAAACATATCTAAGACGATTGTTTGTCTGAAATCCCCGGAACATTTTACTTTCACTTTCAGTTTGCGGGGAAAATCCTCAAGATAACCTTACTGAAAAACTGGTTTTTACTGGATATTAATGGTTGGTAGGTATAAAGTCACATTAATATGACACATGATAACATGTTATTTAATCAAGTTTTTAGTTTCCGTAAGAAATTATTCTTGTGTTAAAATTACAGTTATAATGGATACAAAAATAAACAACCAGGCCTAATTAGCCTACTACTGTACATGGGACAAAGTCGAGACGTCCCATTGTGGTGCCTGCATCAAATTAAAATTACAAAAGTACATATATATAAAGAAAAAGCATATTCAGTGGTTTCTTTTGTGAAAATAAAATGTCAAAATATGGGTGAAATAGGCTAATGTTCCATCGTCATTCAGTGTAACAGATATATGTAATATATTTACTTATTAAAATTGATATATATATATATATATATATATATATATATATAGTGACAAAGATTAGTAAAAATTTAAAATGACAAAAAAATATTGTTTTTGGGGGCTGCACTGTGATCCTTAAATATAGTCTTTCATGTGATCTAATGATTCTTGTTTTAAATATACGTTATATGAACTATTGTTACACTGAATTACACTTTAGTGGGTGTCTTCAGTAAATCAGGGTAATAATGTATTCTAGTCTTTTTTTTCCTCCGAAAATTTTTTTTTCATTAAACAGGACACATTCTAATGTACGAACAAAAAATTAAAGCTGTGTTTAACTTTTATTGTTTTGATGCTTGAAAACCCCTTTTCGTCTTTGACCCACGTGCATGCATTAATACATACATAAATAAATAAGATAAATAAAACATAAGGACAAAGACAATAAACATTTCCAAATGCAATACATGCAATACAATATATAAGAATGAACAGTATTCAGATATTATTTAGAACAACAATTTTTCCATTTGTATTGTTTCTAGCTGACCCAAAAGTGCAGGTGTACAGCCGCAACCCTGGAGAGTATGGGAAGAAAAACGTGCTGATCTGCTACGTCAGTGGCTTTCACCCCCCTGACATCACCATTGAGCTCCTGAAGAATGAGCAGGAGATCCCGGACAGCCAGCAGACCGACCTGGCCTTCGAGCAGGGCTGGCAGTTCCACCTGACCAAGCATGTTGATTTCACCCCCCAGGCTGGAGAGGAGTACAGCTGCAGAGTCCGACACATGGGCAACACAAAGACCTACACATGGGGTGAGAACAGATCTGAGGTCTTTATCTTGATTTTCATTGTCGGTAAAGGTCAGAGATGTTGGTTTATTTAGGAGCTGTTTGAGTATTTCTCACTTTCTTAGACATCTGTCCAAAGGATCATGGAGATTAATTCCTCTCTTTCATGTTGTTTAAAGTTTTAGGACTCGTTAAGTAGTCACCTAGGCTAACACATTTTAATTATCATACAAAATGTCCTTAAAACCAAATGTTTGAAAGGAATAGTAATACTATGAAACACACAGACCCAACAATATGCAAAATGTATCATTAATTGTAATCATTAACTAATTAATAGTCATTTCAAATCTTTACCAGTCTTTGTCACTATCCTTCAAATCACTAGGCTTTACTCATTTGTGACAAGAAGTTTTTAATCATTTAAAATATAATACAATTTGGTATGGTCACTTATATATGTACTGTATATACTGTATATATAAGTACAGGTCAGAATAAGTATATTGTTTCATTTACATAAATATATCTGTTATGTTATGATTGATCATTATTTGACCCATATATTTTGGCATTTTCACAAAAGTATTTGAAACATTAAAGTAGACACTTTACTTGCATTTAATATACTTTCTTATATATATATATATATATTTTTTTTTTAATTTTTAAATTTTTTTTTAAACTTTTTTTATTTAGTCATTTAGCAGACGCTTTTATCCAAAGCGACTTACAAATGAGGACAATAAAAGCAGTCAAAACTAACAAAAGAGCAACAATATATAAGTGCAAATGACAAGTCTCGGTTAGCCTAACACAGTACACATAGCAA